CAAATATTTTGTATCTATTTAAATCTGTAAAATTTTATTCGTCAAGATATATTAATTTTTAATATAATTTATTTTATATATAGTCTGATTTTAAATATAATTACTTTTCAGAATTTGAACTCTAATCATTTTTATCAGATCTAGGACACTCGCTATAAATACATGTTCCACGTATATTAGTGACAAATTGATGAATTATTCAGATGATATAGACTCGTCTCAATTTTAGATAATTACGGATTTTTTTAAATTTGAGATACTCGTTTTTATTTTTTAATTATATATAATTTAATACTTATATTTTCCGAGCTCTACATTTAGTACATATAGTACGTATATACATATATTAATATTTTTCTTACGTTTATAAATTAACGAATTATCTAAAAACTTGAAATGTGATATTTTATTCTCCTTCTTTTTTTAATTCTCAAATAATCAATCTGCATCCCAGTATAATAATTTGCTATATCTAGAACTTGATATTTATTATATTATATATTTCAGGATACATTATGAGATAAAATTCTCTTTTCACTGTTTGATATGTATTCGCATTCACATATTTATTAAACATTTTTATCTCTACTTAATTAATATTGAAGTGTTAGGAGAAGAACATTCCACTACGTTGTGATAAGATCTGTCGGGAATCTGCAAAAACTCAAAAATTATAAATTTATCTATCTTTATTTTGAGCAGAGCTATGCTTCTGTCAAAAATTTCCGTACCATCACTGTAACAAGCTCATTTTTTGCGAGCATTCCTCTGCTTGCTATCTTTAGCCTTAAAGATAGCTGGATCAAGAACATTGATGGGTCCATTGTTCCACAATGAAGCAGACACGGTCTCAGTAGGCTCAATGGTGGATGGCAGTAGATGGGGCCCGACCAAAAAATACGCCTGCTCGACCCAAGTAGGCAGAGGTAATCCGGCGACGCAACATTGCCATAGTGGCAGCCCCAAATGAGCCAGCATCATGCGGAAGTATATGGTAAAATTGTCAGCCAAGTGGTACCAGCCACTACCTCGATGGAGCCAAATACTGGGCGAGTCCTGTTCCTGTTTAGAACGATATGCTAAATAAATCCTGCCGTTTTCGGTTCCCGGGAAACACTGGCCAATCTCGAAGAATTTACAATCGCGTGAATCCCCGGAGAACATGGTGTCTTGCGGCTCCGCGATGACGTTCCCCGCTTGGATTCCTGTCGATTCCTGCATCGATGGTCCTGTCTGCCGATCCTTACCGACGTATCTCTTCAGAGACGAAAGACCGCCGATTTCCATACGACCTACTGAGAATTCCTCGCCTACGTTGGCATGGAATTTTTTAATTAGTATCGATGAATTAAAGTCATTAACTTGAAGCTAACAGTTTTTCACACTGCTATAGATAACATAAAAATTAGGAAAATATATATCTTTGAAAGTTTTTAAATAAATCCTAAATCCTGACCCGAGTGGAAATGTATCTGGGCGTTCCAATGTTCTATATTGGGCCCCATGGGGAAGGTGACACGACAGTATCGGAAATCTAGCCGGGCGCTACCTAGTATTTCATCTAGGCGCTAGACAGAATTATGCTGGGGGTGCCAAGATGGGAAAACTAGCCGGGGGCTAGCTAGCGTCCAGCCGATGAGGCAGGATCATAATAATTATGGTAGAAGTATAAGAGTATGCTCTTGCGCATGGCCACGCCCACTGTCCAATCGAAATATGTAGCAAGCATACGTCATCATTAAGCGCGAAATTCGAACGTATGCTTTTAAGCATGCCTTTCAATCCGACTCATTTTTTTATGATGATAATTTCCGCATCCTTTAACCGCACAATGTATTTTGAATGTGAAATCACTCGACTTTGCACTACAGAATTTATTCGGCATGTGCTGCACATGTGTTGGCGACATGGCGACCATATTACATTGACACGAACCGCTCCGGATATAGCCGAATGTGACGTATGCTTGCTATACATGTGCAGTGGTCTACCACTGATTGAGCATACCGTTATACTTCTATCATGATAATAACCATTTTTTAATATAATTAATGTTATTCAATAATATAAAGTAAAAAGTAAGAATAAAAAATTGACCAATCACAGTTGATACATCGACGACAGTATTCTTCTCACAATCGACTGTGATTGGTCAATTTCTTACTCTTACTTCTTACTCCGTGAATTATAGACGACGCATTATGCGTTTAAAATTTACTTTAAGTCTAACTAGATTACCCCCTGTCCCTTCCTAGATAGCGACTAGATAGATTTAATATCTTGGGGCAACACACTGCTTCGTGATCAAGGACTAGACAGTTTTCTCAAATTTCGGCACTACCTCGCGAACCATGACCTAGACAATTTTCCAATATTGGGCCTATAGCGCATCGCGAACCAGGGCCAAGAAAGTTTTCCAATATTGGGGCTAGTCATTATTGCCGTTACCGTCCCAGGCTAGCCTTCCAATATAACGCCTACATTAACTCGTGGAAAACTAGATAGGGCCCATATAGCGCCAGGTCGTAATTTCCACCCGGGGAGTACAATTGTTGATAAAAAATACAAGATTGGTTTTTATTATATTTACTTTGCTTATAAGTACATCTTTTGATTTGATATATTATAATATAATTGTTAATAATTATACGAAAAATTTTAAATATAAATTATAAAAATAAAAATTCTCGATATGTCATGAAAAACCATTTTTGCTATGTAAAAAGGATTATTCTTGCAATTTATATTTAATAATTATAAATTTTTTGAAATAAATAAAATAGCTTAAAATGTATGTTGATAGATTGAGACAATAAATATTTATAAATTTATAATGAATATTTACAAAATGATAATAAAAATTTATAAAATTATATGTGAAATATATGTATAATACATATATAATTCTTGTAACAATATTTTAAAAAAAGTCTAATGAATATAATAATAATATGAATAATAATGGATATTTATATTGAATATTTTATAAAATATAATGTTATGGGACATACATGGATGTAATGGAAAAAATGTACAATTGATGGGAATAAAAAGAGGAAAGTTATGGAAGGATACATTGAATCGGAAGTGCAGGATTAAATAATTATCGTGTTTACCTGCTATATCAAGATTCCACTGTAACAAGAAACCATCAATAGAAGCGTAGAAATTCCGGATGTCCTCGGGAAGCGCACAGCAATGGCGTTGCTCCCAATTGGTGATAGCTCCAGATTCACAGCCATTTCGCCTCTCGACCCGTACATTTCTCACGCATGACGAGTTCTCGAGGATCTTGACTACGCCGAGGGTCAGATTCTCGTAGAAGGAATCCTCGGTGACAATGTCCACGCAGAACGACATTGTTTCTGAATTCTTGCTTTCCGTCTTTTGCATATTTAAATTTATTTTCAAATTTATTTTCTGTCTTTTCCAAAAACTGTAGGAGAT